TCAGTGAGATCATATGATACATGTCTTTCTCTGTTTGACTTATTTCACTCAACATAATACCCTCCAGTTCCATCCACGTGGTTGCAAATGGCAAGATCTCATTCCTTTTGATGGCTGCATAATATTCCATTGTATATATATACCACATCTTCTTTATCCATTCATCTGTCGATGGACATCTTGGCTCTTTCCACAGTTTGGCTATTGTGGACATTGCTGCTATAAACATCGGGGTGCACGTACCCCTTCGGATCCCTACTTTTGCTTCATTCTTTTATTCTTACTTATAGTCTTTCTTTCCAGAGTCCCCTTTATCATTTCTTGTAGGGCCAGTTTATTGATTATGGTAGTTGGGAAACTCTCCTATTCTGAATGATGGCCTTGCTGGATAGAGTACCATTGGTTGCAACCTTTTTCCTTTCAGCATTTTGAATATATCATGCCACTCTCTTCTGGCCTAAAAAGTTTCTGCTTAAAGATCAGCTTATAGCCTTATGGGTTTTTTTTGGATATATATGTAACTATTTTGCTGCTCTTAAAATTCTCTATCACTACATTTTGCCATTTTAATTACTATGTGTCTTGGTGTGGACTTCTTTGGGTTTATTTTTGTTGGGAACTCTCTTGCCTCCTGGATCTGGATAGGTTTCAAACCTTCCCCAGATTAGGGAAATTTTTAGTGGTTTCTTCAAATAGACTTTTATTCCCCCTTTTCTCTCTCCTCCTTTTGGGATCTCTTAATGTGAATATTATGCTTTATGGGGTTACTGAGCTCCCTAAGTCTGTTCTCATTTTGCCTAATTTTTTTTTCCCACCTGCTCAGCTTGATTACTTTCCATTATTATTGTTTTCCATGTTAACTTGCTCCTCTCCTCTCTTTAGCCTGTTATTCCATCTAGTATATTTTTAATTTTCATTTATTGTGTTCATCTCCACTTCTTTCATCTTTTAAGATTTATTTATTTTAGAGTGCATGTGCATGCATGTAGTGGGGGGAGGGGCAGAGAGAGGGAGAGACAGTCACAAGCAAAGTCCATGCTGAGCACAGAGCCGAATGCAGGGCTTGATCTCACAAGCCTGAGATCACAACCTGAGCTGAAAGCAAGAGTCAGATGCTTAACCAACTGCACTACCCATGGGCCTCTCTGGTGGTTTTTTTGTTTGTTTAAATCTTTCCATTAATGTTCTCTCTGATATCCTCCACTCTTAAGTGCATTGAATATCTTTATGATCATTACTTTAACTTTTTTATCAGGCATATTACTTATATTCACTTTGCTTATGTCTTTTGTTGTGGTCTTTACCTGTCCTTTCATTTGGGACATACCTGTCTCATTTTGTCTAATTCTGTGTCTGTTTCTGTGTTTGGAAAGTCAGCTATGTCTCCTCTTAAAAATAAAAGCCTTGTGAAGGAAACGTTCTGTATTATCCTGCAGTGCAGTGTCTCCTCTTCACTAGAACCTGGTGCTTCAGGAGGTATCCCATATGTGTGTTGTGTGTGCCCTGCTGTTGTGGGGATTCATCTTTTTTGTGTGGGATCCCTGGTGTGATTTCTCTCCATTTCTGGGGCTCCCCACCCCCCATGAAAGGCTACAGTCAGTTTTGCTCCCCACTGACCTTCTTATCCTCTCCAATATGGCCTCTTTTATACTTTTGTGGAGTTTGTTGTGCCAGTCTTCAGGTTGTTTTCTGGGTTATTTATGCTGTTGTTGCCATTTTTATCTGTGGGATGAGGTCACCTTAGGGTTCTCTTACACTCCATCTTCCCTATGATTGGAAATAGTCCATTTGCATTTAAAGTAATTATTGCAGGTATGTATTGACATTTTGTTAATTCTTTTCCAGTTGTTTTTGTAGTGTTGTATCTTCTGCTTTCATCCCTTGTGCTTTGAAGGTATTCTTTAGGGTTATGCTTGGATTCCTTTTTCTTTTTTTTGTGTATGTGTATTAGAGGTTTTTGATTTATGATTACCATTAGGTTCATTTGTCATCTTTTGTATATAGCAATTTTTATTAAGTTGATAGTCACTTAAGTTTGAGCACATTCTAAAAGCACCTAATTTTTCATCCCCCTTCCATATTTTCTGTATATGATGTCATATTTTGCATCTTCTTATTTTGTATATCCTTGGCTGGTTTTTTGTAGATATAGCAGATTTTACTATTTTTGTGTGTGAACAAACTGGCTTTATAGTTGAATCTACTACCCTAATTATATGATTACTTTTACTGTGAATTTTTTTTCTCTTATAATTTTCTTCTAGTTATGGCCTTTTCTTTCCACTCAGATAATTCCCTTTAGCCTTTCTTAGAAGGCTGGTTTAGGGGTGATGAACACCCTTAGCTTTTGTTTAGGAAACTCTTTATCTCTTCTATTCTGAATGATAACCTTGCTGGGTAGAGTATTCTTGGTTGTGGTTTTTTTCCTATTAGTAGTTTGAATAGATCATTCCATTCCCTTCTGACCCACAAAGTTTCTGGTGGAAAATAAGCTGATGATTTTGTGGGGTTTCCCTTATATGTAACTATTTCCCTTTGCTGCTTTTATAATCCTTTTATTCCATTTTGCCATTTTTGGTATTCATGTGTCTTGATGTGGACCTCTTTGTGTTCATCTTGTTACGATTTCTGTTTCCTGGATCTGGATGTCTGTTTCCTTCTCCAGTTTAGGGAAGTTTTCAGTTATATCTTCAAATAAATTTTCCACCCCTTTCTTATCTCCTTCTGGGATTCCTACAATGTGAATTTTATATGCTTGATGCTGCTGCTGAGTTCCCTTAACCTATTATTTTTCACCTTTTGCTGTTCAGCTTGGTTCTTTTCCATTACCCTGTCTTCCAGATCAGTGAGCTGTGCTTTTGTCTCCTCTCATATGCTTGATTCCCTCTAGTTTTTTGTTCTTGTTACTGAATTCTTCATCTGATTGTTTTTATATTTTCTATCTTTGTTGATGATCTCACTCTCATCCACTCTTAAGTCCAGTGAGTATTTCTGTGATCATTACTTTGAATTCTCTATCATATTGCTTATCTCCATTTCTTTTAGTTCTTGTGCTGTGATTTTTGTCCGTTCTTTCATTTGGGACATATTCCTATTTTCCTCACTTTGTATTTTTCTATGTGTTATGGAGGACAGCTGTGTCTCCTGGTCTTGAAAGTAGTTGCCTTGTATAGAAGTTCAGTGGTTCCCTATAGTGCCATGCCCTCTAGTCATCAGAACGACACAAGCTAGTGGTGCGTCTCCTATGTGGGTTGTGTATACTTTTCTGTTGTGTCTAGCTGTGTTTATTTTCAGCCCAGTCAGCTGCAATGACCCACTTTGCCTACTGTGGGTGCACTGGGCAGGGTTTGGTCCATGCAGCATTGAGGGGCCTGTGTAAGGCCTCTGTGGACTTGTAGGTGGGCAGGATCAGCAGTCAGGCTAGTTGTCTGGAATTAGCCTCTCTGTGTGAGTATATCAGATGACAGCCTTTCTCCCTATGTGGCTCAGAGGCTTTCATTGGTGGGTGGGGTTGGCAGTCAGACTAGGTATCTGCAACCAACCTCTTTGTTGCAAGCACACCTAATAGCAGGTCTTTCTCCTTGTGTGATTGGCTAAAAGGCTTGGCTGCTAGAACTGTGGGCAAACTGGTGTGTGGGATTATTTCCTCCTCCTCTCCAGGGCAGTAGTCACTTTGGAGTGGTGCTGGTCCCCACTGGGGCAGCTTGCTTGGTGTGGTGGTAGGAGCCACTTTGTAAGGATGGCTGCTGAGGCAGGTGGGTTGGATGGGTCAGGTCTATAAGGGAGCATTGGGGGTGGGGCACGTGGTGCTAGCAAGATTGGAGGAGAGTGTCACCGCAGGCTCCCATAATTGTCCAGCTATGTAAGCTGAGGGAGAGGAAGAGAAATGGTGCCCACCAGCATTTTTGTTCTTAGAGAAGTCTCCTAAAGATTCCTGCCCCTCCACCACATATTCTGAGATTAGTAAATAAATCTCTTCAATGTGTGCCCCAGGTAGTTTTGAAACTGCTACTTTTTTGCCATGTCTCAGGCCAGGTTATTTATTATGCTGACTCTTTGAGGGTGAGGACTCTTGTAGAATTCATGTTCTTTTATGTTTTTGTGATAAGTCACATGCTTCTTAAATCTTCGTTTCCTGAAGTAAGCACTTTTTAAAAAGTCCCTTTTTTGCTACCTAATGGCAGTGTTCCTCTTTCCCTTTAAAATCTTCAAGTTTTAAACTGGCAGGCAAGTTGTTGGCATAGCTCCTAGCCAAATTTCTGGTTTCTAGAGATCATCCAGCAGTATCAATCTGGCTTTTTTTAATGGAAGGGGAATCTTTTTTTACTTCTATGTTCTGGTTTTGGGTTCCTACAATCTCATGAGTTCTATGGGGGGTAAATATGATGTGATGAATAATCCATATATAAAAATTGCACATTTGAACTTATAAGAGTAATGCTAGGATCTTACCATAAATTTTTGTACTTTTCATAAGTGTATACTGTCATTTTATATCTTAATGTGCATAAATGAAATCATAGTTTAATAAGCATAGAGGATAATCTCATACCCATTTCTTTTACTATGCACTGACCTATAAATAACTGAAGTTTCCATAATTATGCTGTTTAATAAAGGCCAATACTTTTTTCAAACCCTACTTCTGTTAGCATAAGGCCTCAAAATTTTTATTTTAAAAAACATACAATGTAAGAAACAACAGAAAACTGTGCAGTAGCTACTCTTTGTATATCTGTCTGGACAGAAAAACAAAAGTAGCTTTGCTTGAGATAGGGTAATCACACACAGTCACACTTTGTGTATGCTGTTCTTTTCCTCAATGTGGGTCTATGCAATGCAAGTGTATTTTGTCCCTGTTTTATTGCCCAGACTGTTTTAATTTCTAAAATGGTTATTGCTCTCATGGCTTTTCCAGTCTCTGCCACTTCCTGTTTTGTGGGAGTCCTTTCCTTATTCTTTTTAGCATAAATTTGATTCTTCTAAAATTATGCTTTCAGGGAAAATTGAGATGTTGGATTCCTTCATACTTACCTTAGGATTTCTGGTGACAGAAAAGACTGTAAATCGTTTCATTCAGCAGGAGGTGAGTTGCAAATAACAAAACTGATTAACAGCTGCTCTAAAGACCTTAGAGAGGGTTGTGCAATAAGCCTCCATGTTTCCTCCCTGTAAATACTTTCTCTGACTCCAGGCTTTGAAAACTTTGAACTCCATTTTTCATGCCATGCCTCGGGAAGAGCGAAGACGACTCCCCTTGTTGGAAGGTCCACGTCATCTTATGTAAGTGACCTTGTACTTGATTATGGGATGATGTAAGGCTAAAACTCCTCTGGGTTGTACTACCTCTGTCTTTGTTCTCCTTAGACCTAACACCTTCATTGCTTCTTTCAGTAAATGTGTACCTATGCAGGCACTGTGCTAAGCAGCAAAGGAGGACTAAGGGAAAAAGCTAGACTTTGCTAAGTTCTTGTTTAGTAGTATGTTTATCAAGTTTATGAGTTGAAATGCTTTCTTGGGCCATAGGTTATTGTTTTCTCTGTGAATGTGAGTTAAATTAGTGACTCATGGAGAATGTTAAGAGTACAGAGCCAGACTGCTGGGCTCCAAATCCTGGTTTTGCCACCTCTTTGCTCACTAAAATGGAGCCAACCATAATCCTTGATTGATAGTTATTATACAGGTTGAATCAAGCAAGCCATTGAAAGTGATGAGCATGTTACTTAGTAGCAAATGATCAAAGGCTACCAACTTTTAGCTATGCCAATGTAATTTGTATTGCTTTTCAACAACGGAAAAACAGTGGATTTTTGTTTTTTGATGACTGTTATAATTATGTAGTTCTTGGGACATTGAAATTTGGAGGTAAAGTTATAATGTGTGGCCATGGAAAGAGCAAAACCAGCACCCATTTTAAAATTTGAACCTAAATGTTACTGTGTTAACCACTAACCAGCATCATTGATATATTGTGGCATGCATCATTCATGTGACAAGCAGCCATGACTGATGAGAGGAAGGGCAATCAAGTTTGTCCTATTGTAGGCCTGAATGAAGTGATGGTGAGCATGGAGCCCACTGCTATCATGTTTGTCCATTTAACTAATGTTTGCAGCATGCAATTTTTCTACTGAATATTTCCTTAAAAATATTTGACTACATTATTTAATCATTACTCTTAATGTTATATTTAGAATTGGAGAACAACTGACCTGATGTTTTCTCATAAGTTTTCAAACTAATCCTGTTGTCCTGCCTTATTGTTTATGTGTTAGAGAAAGTCTGGAATGTTCTGGACTTCAGGTTAGATGTAAAGTCTGCAAGCACAAAGCAGTGGTACTATTTTAAGGCTTCTTTTTAATAGTAACAAATCAACCTGTTTATGAGAAACTGAACTACGAGATTTCTTGGCCAATCTAGTCTTTAAAATGGGAGTTATTTCAGACATTAAAAGACCAGTATCATACTTGTTAGCATTTAGTTGAAATTGTTAAATGAATATAGGATATGGGAGTCTGTTGTTAAATGTAATAGGGTTAGGTTATTACATGATAAATAATAAATTTATCAGTTTTTAAAAGCAGTTCAAGAGCTCACTGGAAAGACTCACAGCACCTACTGTAGCATTTCTTCCAGTTATCAACTATGTTTTTAAAAAGATTATACAAAAAATATATACACGTAAGTTGGTGAGATGACTATAAAATTCCAGAATCTTAGCGTTTGATAATCTTCAGACATCCTCCAATTGAATTCACTTTACAGAAGGAAAAATAGAACCTCTGAATGTATAATAACTCTAACTTCTTTTAAAAAGTACATTTAAGTCATTAATACATAACTTTTCCATAAAGATGTATTCTTGACATTTAAGAAATTCTGATGATGAATTTGAAATAATTTCAAAAATGCACATTGTGGTGGGGGGCCATGGGTGGCTCAGTCGGTTAAGCATCTGCCTTTGGCTCAGGTCATGGTCTCAGGGTCCTGGATCGAGCCTGTGTTGGGCTGCCTGCTCAGGTGGGAGTCTGCTTCTCCCTTTCCCTCTGCCCCTCCCCTCAGTTCATGCATGTGCTCTCCTCTAATAAATAAAATCTTTAAAAAATATTAAAAATATACATCTTGGTTTTAAATTTTAATACTAATATAGTAAAGTTTTATGTACATTTCAGTAAAATGTAATTTATCTAAATGTTTCAGGAAAGACCTGGCAAGGACAATCTTGACTGTGGGTGGTAAGACGTGTTTAGAATTTTAAATATTAGAGTATTACATATTGGACTCTTGGGGGTTTTGTGAGCATCTTAAAACTATGGGTAAAAATTATGGTCAAGTTGAAAATAGGAATAGCATTTCTTTTTTAATTTATTATGAAAAGTTTTAGCATGCTGAAAGCCATAAAGAATAATTCATGAATACTCATTTCCTCACCAACCAGCCTAGTCAAATTTTATCATTTTGCCACATTTACTTCATCTTTAAGTAAAATCAGTTACAGGTAAAGCCCCTGGTATACATGTCCCTGATCCCATTCTCTCCATTAGTAGAGGTAATCCTTCTTGGATTTATTTCTCATTCAAAAGTATGTTTTTCTACTTTTGTTCTACGTATTCATAAACAAGATACATTATTTTTTTCTAATTTTATTTAAATTCTAGTTAACATATAGTGTAATATTAGTTTCAGGAGTAGAATTTAGTGATTTGTCACTTCATACATTGTTTTGCAAATTTTAAAAGCATTCTATAAATGTCCTTCTATTGTACATATCCAGCTGCAACTTGCTTTTTACTTTTAAAATCATTTGAAATTTAAACATGTTATATGTAGTTTTTATCAGTCATGAAATATCACAATTTATCTTGATTATTTTTGTAATATATTTTTAAGCCTGTTTGAGTTGTTTTTGATGAATATTTTAATATAAAACATAAAATGCAGAAGTATGTTTTACTTGTTATATGCTGGCCTATTTAGATTTTCTGCTAATGTTTCTTAAATATTGAATTTAAGTAAAATGCTCTAGGATACATCTTACTGCTTATAACTGTAATGTACAATGCTAGTCTTCTAAGATGGAATTTCTTAGAACAAGTGCTAATCTGTAGAACTCCCCCCCCCTTTTTTCTTTTGCTTTATGCCCATACTAGAATGATCTACCATGTTCTTAATCTCTAGATTATGACCAGCAGGTTGCTCTTTCTGAAGCATTGTGTAGGCTGACCTTGAAAAAATCAAGGGATGAGCTTGTCCATGAGTGGTTTGAAGATGATGTCATTGCTGAAGCTTTCAAAGAAATTAAGGATCGAGAATTTGAGACGGTGAGATTCCTGGTCATCAAAAGTCCATTTAACCAATTCATCATTAGGAATAATGGCAGGCCTGGAATCCATCCCGGGCATGGAGTGCTTCTCCAGTTTTATACAAAAAAAAAAAAAAAAGTCCATTTAACCAATACTTATTAAACCTCCTCAGTGTTTTCTTCAACATTGGGCTCAGGGGAGGAATTTTTCTTAAATTAATAAATGATTTAAGTGAATAAGTAGCCATTCTTAAGCTTCCTGTTTCCCATTTATGTGAAAGGATCTGAGGACTGTATGAACAGAAAATCTGTGCACCAAATATGGGCATACAGATAAAACTCTTTTTTTAAGGTAATTTGGACTGGAGACAGACGATGTGAATATGATGGATCCAGTCCAAGAAAATGTCATGGAGTGGGGAGCAATTTTCAGTGCATCTCAGATGGTAGGGAAAGCTGGAAGAGAAAATGTGCATTTCAGCCTTGTACAGAGCAGCTGGGGCAATGAGGGGAGGTTGAAATTGGCATGGGGTGTTCTAGTTGCAGAGGAGTATTATAGGTAGTTGTGTTTTGAGCCATCCGGCCTATTTTAGAGGAATAATAATTTCCAGTGTTTTCCATGCAATCTGGGCTCACGGTGACTGTATTCCCAAATAGCACAGAAATAGCTTGTAGCTTTGCTGCATACTCACCTCCATCCTAAAATGGCTAAAATGTTTTTCCTCTTCTTTCTAAAAGTTCCTAAAATGAAGGTTAGGTCCTTAGAAAAAGGTAAAATTCTTAATAACCATGCTCATGTTGAACCAAGCTTTTCTGGTCAAAACTGCTATGCAATTAGAATTTTATTAAATCTGAAATTTTAAATATATTATTAAAAATATTAACTTTGAGCCTACTGCCAGATAGGTAGTAATTGTTTAGCCAGTATTGAATTTTATCTAAATGGAAAGACCATAAGGCTCAGGTTTGAGTACTACTTCCCTGGCTTACATGATGTATGCATTTTGGTAAGGTGGTTGATTTACAAAGCCTTAGTGTCATTATCTGTGAAATGGGAATACAACCCACCTTAAAGTTGTGAGAACTGAATGAGAGAAACCAACATGCCTGGGATGTTAAACTCAGAGGTTAGTTCCCTTTTTCTCTCTACGTCATTCCCTCATGGTCAGGGAAATTTCATGAAAATAGGGCAAAAGTAACATTTCTCAAATCCTCCCCCCCCCCCCCCCCAGAGCCATTGACTTCTTAATGGAGCTACTTTTAGGTCAAAGCTTACATTACTGCTATTTAGTGCTGCATAAAGATGCAGAGTGTAAGGATGGACTACAATAGCCAGTCCTCCCTAAGAAAAGGGACAAAAGCCTGCGTCCGTGTCTGTTCAGCTTTAGTATTTTGGAGGCAACAAATTTACCTTCTTACTTGCTTCTGGTCAGGAGAACTCTCTAAAAATAATCCTTATTCTCTGAACCTGTATGAGCAGAGAGAAACCAGGAAGGAATGGGATAGAGAACTCCTCATAAGGAAAATTGGCAGTGGATAATGCACCCAGAATAACCCCCAAATTGATAAGTTTATGGGTTTGTGGTTGGCTCGTTCTGGGCACATGTTAGCAAGATAGATGCCAATGGGTTAGCAAAACTATAATCTAGGTCACTAGTTAAATGTATTTCTTTTCTCTTAACCCAGTGAAATGTAACTGTGCATATAACCTTTGGAGACTTAAAGCATTCCTCAGCTGAAAATCTCCTGGCTGGGGGTTCCTTCCAGAATTTGGGTCTGAAGCTTCCTCTTTCTAACACAATGTATTATTTTAATTAACCTGTAATAACGAATCTTGGTGGAACCTTGTGATGTTACTGGATCCTCGGAATTTAGAAGCAAACACTAGCATCTGAATGCTGGTAAAAATATTTAAAACTTTTTTCTTAAAGTTTGCATTATTTCTTTGAAGGATAGTAGACGGTTTCTCAATTACCTAAACAACAGACTTGGAGATGAAAGAAGGTAAGTATGTCTCTGGGTGTCATTTTATTGACTAGTCTTATTTTGAAAATGTCTAATATTAGAAATCTAGGCTATGTTTTATTTCAGGAGAGAATAGAAGATACATAACTTATTGATCACTACTCTGTTATCCATTGAATAGAAATACCAGGAAATTAGATCCATTCTCCATAGTGATTCATTTGTATGTGTTTAAAAATGCTCTACATGTTTGTTTTGTTTTGTTTTTAGCATATTTACTTATGATTTGGACTATTTTTAACATGTTCCCTGGGGGAGATTTTATGAAGTCAGTGGGGATAGGCTTATTACAGAAAAAGTTCTTGATGAGAATTTGCTAAATTCACTCATTGGAATCTTGACCAGCAACTAGGCAGAGAAACAGTACCAGTAAGCCTGGCTTGTAGACCACTAAACTTGGCTTGTACGCTTGCCAGATGGAGACTGGAAATCTACCCAGAGTAGTATCCATTTGCAGGTTTGAGACCCTCTTCCATACTTTGTGCAAAAAGATTTAATAGCATAACCTAGATAAAAATGCTCGTTATAGAACATGTAGGTTGTGTTTGGGATTGACCCACATTATATTTTTTACATTGTCAAGTGTTTTGCAGGGTCTATTCATTTCCGTGTATTGCTGCCTTTGCTGATGGGCACGAGGTATGTTTGTCTCTGGGGGCCGTGAGGGGTATATATGGGTCTCATAGACCGTAAGTTAGGTATACATAATTAGGCCAAACTGCTCTCCCTACAAAGGGCTTTTTAGAAAAGGAAGCTTACTTCTTCTAGAGGCCTCAATTCTGAAGCCTTTCTTCACCTGTCTTCTCTCCTACCATAACTGGGATGCATTACTAACAAGTTTAAAGGCCCTACTGTTAATACCAGGTACAGGAATTTTAGGGTTGATACTGTGTTCATGAGCTCTATTACAGAAATCTGGCATTATTTTACCCTACTAATGGGTACCATTATTCATGCCTGTATTGTAGGTAAAAGGGCAATTCCCTTCTTTCCATCCATTTGATGCTCCCCACTTTATCCACAGAAATAGGGGCACTCTTTTCACTAGATACTTCTACCTTGTACTTTATAGTTTAAGGTTGAGCAGTTTCTTTTTACCACCTTCTTTTGTTTCTAAATGAACAAGGTCAACCTACATCATCTCCACAGGGAATAAATTCTTCAAAGACCTCTAAACCTTGACTCAGTTGAGGTTTCCTGGAACTTGTCTTCAAAATGTCCTAATCAACCATTTCTTTGCTTTGGGTTTAGATGCTGTTTCTTGGCCTCTTGGAGCTGAGCCTTTAACCCCTGACTATGCCACAAGTTTTTTCTCCCTAGGACTGATTTTAGTAGCCTGATTGATTTTCTGTATCTCTGTTCTTTTTTTCTTCTGGTTATCTGAAGTTTCCAGTATCTGCTTGGTGGTAGGTTTTTGGTTTTTTTGGTTTTTTGTTTTGTTGTGTTTTTGGTTTTTTTGTTTTTGTTTTTTTTTTACTTCTAAATTTCCATCAGCTTCAATCAGGGCCCTTAAACTGGCTTCCCGTAACATACATTATAGGTTAAAACCTTCATTCAACTCTATATAGTTGTAAAAAGTAGGCATATATGATGGAAAGATGTCCAAGAAATGCCATTTTCATAAAAGCAAGTGGTCTATTTTTTTCCATTCTTAAGGTATAAAAACTCTTCATATACTTTCTGATGTCTAGAAAACATCTGGGAGGAAACAAAGGCATTGTTAATGTGTCTCTGGAAAGGTATCTATGGGAAGTTGAAGGGCAGAGAAGAAGACCTTTACTGTTTCTATAAACACAATACTGTTTGAAGCTTTTTTACTATAAGCACATATTTATTTTATAATCAATTAAAATGAAGGTAATTTGAAATCTTCAAGTCTTAGCTCTACTCTAATGGATATAGTAAGGTAGATGGCAAATAATCACTTATATTTGATAATACCTCCTTCTCTTGAAGTTTCCATCCCTATGCAGTATGGATTGTTTCTGCTTCAACATAGGACTATTTTCTCATGAGTCTCTCTGGGGGAAAAAGGTTTATGTGGATAGAGTCCTCTGACACATTTAAACATCTTTTAAATGTTAAGCTAAGGTTGTTTTTTTTTTCTTCCAGAAATAGCTTAGTTATATAAAGTTAAGACCTTCCTCCTGTTTTGCAGAAGTAAGGCAATAAACGCCTCCTATAATTTTAAAGCAGTGTTTTTCCAAGAAAAGCAGAAGTTGTTTTTAGTGGAATAATTTCCCTCTGACCCTTTAACAGGATATGTATACAGTTCATGATGAAATTATCTTACAGATGAGGAAACCAGAAGATGAAAAACTAGAGAAATTTTGGATTGACTTCAACCTCGGAAGTCGGAGTGTAACTTTTTATATAGACAATATGAAGGTAACTGTGTTTGATTCCTACTTAAACCTAAGTGCTTAGAGATTGTTCATATGCAAATATGTTATGTGCTCATGAATGTAACTTATTTTTTTTCCAAGAGTGCTCTGTGGGATTCAGTAAGACTTTTGAAGGAAGCAGTGATTAATTTCAGCATAATAGGTAAGATGATAATTCTAAACTACCCCACATTTAGTTCTGATTCTAGAGCAGACTTTGTTCTTTGAGGTAGGAGGGAAATAGTATAGTGTGGTGGAAGGAACACTGCCCAGGGCCAGGATGCAGGGGTACAAGGCTGGGGACTCCTTCACTTTGTGACTTTAGATTCAATTACTTGCCTTGCTTTTTCATTGTAAAAGTAGTTATAGTTACTCAAAAACTTTAAAATAGAATCACCATATGAGCCAGCAATTTCACTTCTAGATAGCAGACTCAAAGAGAGATTGGCATACCAATGTTCATTGCAATATCATTCACAGTAACCAAGAGGCAGAAGTGACCCAAACGTCCATCTAAAAAAAAAAAAAACTGGTATATATGTATGATGGAATACTATTCAGCTTTAAAAGGGAAGGGAAGTCTGACACATGCTACAACATGGATGAACCTTCAGGACATTATCCTAAGTGAATAGGCTAATCAGAAAAACAAATAGTAGGATTCCACTTATGAGGTATATTTCAATTAAAGTGATAGAGACAGGAAGTAGAGTAGTGGTTATCAGGGACTGTGGGGAGGAGGAAATGGGGAGCTGCTATTTAGTGGGTAGAGTTTTAGATATTGCAAGATAAAATTCCGGAGATCTGTTGTACAATGATGTAAATATACATAATACTACTGAACAATATATTTTAAAATGGTTAAGATGGTTATGCCACAATTAAAAAATTGGGAGCAGGAGGGCAGGTACTTATTACCAGAATGGGAATCTCAAGCCAACTCCATGCTGAGCATGGAGCATGATGTGGGGCTCAGTCTCACCACTGTGAGATCATGACCTGAGCTGAAACCAAGAGTCAGATGATGCTTAACTGACTCAGATGATGCTTAACTGACTGAGCCTGCCCCCAAGTTGTTTTCCTGCCTTCTCTCCAGAAGCCTTAGTCAGTGCCCTCCGGGCTCTATCCCAGCCAAGCCTGGTGACATTTAAAACTCCAGGCTTTAAGGCCTGCTGGTTGTCAAACCTCACAAAATTCAACCCTTCTCATTTTCCAAGCCAATGGCGTTGGGGAAATGTTCTCCTTGTGTGCTCCCCTGTGTATTCTCTCTTGCCCTTCATCGAGACCACGGCTCCCTCCCCTCCACAGCACAAGGGAGCCACACATCCCACCTTCTTCAGTGTGGCTTCTTCTCCCCCGCTAGTTGTGGAGTTTGTTATGTCCATCCTCAGGCTGATTTTTGGGGTATTTAGCATGATTTGATAGTTATCTAGTCATGTTTGTGGGATGATATAAGCCTAAGGTCCTCTTATTCCACCACCATCTTTTCTCAACAATGTGCATTCATAACATCATTCCTCAGATCCTCCAGGGGCCACACAAAGAGGTAAAGGCAGAGTGCAGAAAGAGCAAGTCCTTGTTTTAAGGTCTATTTTGTCTGATAGAAATATTGCTACCTCAGCTTTCTTTTCGCATCCATTTGCATGACAAATACTTTTCCATCCCTTCACCTTTAATTTGTATGTCTTTAGGTCTGAAATGAGTCTCTCGTAGGCAGCATGTAGATGTGTCTTGCTTTTTTTAATACATTCTATCACCTGCTTTTGATTGGAGTGTTTAGTCCATTTACATTCAAAGAATTACTGATAGGTATGTACTTATTGCCATTTTGTTACTTGTCTTATGGTTGTTTATGTAGTTCTTCTGTGTTCTCTTGCTCTTTCAGTTTGCTGGCTTTTTGGATTCGTATGCTTGGATTCCTTTCTCTTTATTTTTTATAAATCTATTTTTTATTTTGGTTACCATTAGGTTTAGAACATCTTATACATATAGTAATCTATACTAAGGTGATGGCCACTTACGTTTGAATCCATTCTTTACTCCTCTACCCCCCCACCGCCATGTTTTAGGTATATGGTGTCATACTTTTGTGAATCCCTTGACTGAGTTTTATAGATGTACTTAATTTTACTGCTTTTATGTTTCCCACTTTTCTTACTGTTATGGTCTTTCCTTTCCACTCAGTGTCTTTTAACATTTTTTGTAGGACTGGTTTAGTAGTCATGAATTCCTTTAACTTTTGTTTCTGGGGAAATTCTTTATTTCTCCTTCTATTCTGAATGGTAGCCTTGCCGAATGGATTGTTCTAGGTTTCAAGATTTTTCTTCTAGCACTTTGAATATATCATGCCACTCTCTCTGGCTTGCAAAATTTCTGCTGAAAAATCAGGTAATAACCTCATGGGGTTTCCTTTGTATGTAACTGTTTTGCTGCTTTTAAAATTCTCTTTATCACTACTTCTTGCCATTTTAATCATGTATCTTGTTGTGGATCTCCTTGGATTGATTTTTGTTGGTGACTCTATGCCTCTTGGATCTAGATATCTGTTTCCTTCCCCAGATTAGGGAAATTTCCAGCTATTATTTCTTCAAATAGATTTTCTGCCCCCTTTTCTCTCTCTTCTCCTCCTGGGATTCTTTTTTTAATAGATTTAAAAAAAAGATTTTATTTATTTATTTGACAGAGCTAGAGAGCACAGGTAGACAGAGCAGCAGGCAGAGAGAGAGGGAGAAGCAGGCTCTCCACTGAGCAGGGAGCCCGACATGGGGCTCGATCTCAGGACCCTGGGATCATGACCTGAGCCAAAGGCAGATGCTTAACCAGCTGAGCCACCCAGGTGCCCCTCCTTCTGGTATTCTTATAATGTGAATGTTGATGGTGTTGCTGAGTTCCCTTAGCCTATTTTCATTTTTTTTTTTCTCTCTCCTGTTCCACTTGATTGCTTTCCATTACTCTGTCCTCCAGGTCACTGATCTAATCTTCTTCTTTTAGTCTACTAGTTATTCCATCTAGTGCATTTTTAATTTCAGTTGTTGAGGTCTTCATCTCTGATTGGTTCTTTGTTTTTTGTCTTTGTTGATGGTCTCACTGAGGTCTCCAACTCTTTTCTCAAATCCAGGGAGTATCTTTAAGACCATTACTTTAAATTTTCTATCAGGAATATTACTTATCTATTTCATTTAGCTCTTGCTGTAATTTTGTTCTTTCATATGAGACTTATTCCTCTGTCTCATTTTGTCTGTGTCTGTTTCTACATGTTAGGAAAGTGAGTATCCCCCTTATTTGTTGCATGTGTCCTATTGTTGTGGCTAAGCCACATTTGCCTTCAGTCTAGTTGTCTGCAGTGGTTCTCTTTGCCTGTTGTGACAGGGTTTAGTCCCTGTATTTTTAGTGGGCCTATTTGGGGCAGCCTTGGGCTTGACTTGAGTCAGACCAGGGGTTTGTGAAATGGCATGGTACCAAAGTGCAGGGCACTTTCCCTGTATTGTAGCTTGAGAAGATTTCATTGGTTGGAGGGGCCTGCAGTCAGACTAGATGTCTGCCCCCCACTCCCACACAGTGGGACTGGTCTATGTGGTTATCTTTCTCTCTCCCTAGAGCAGGAGTCACTTTGGAGTGATGGTGGCTCTTGAAGCTGCTTGCACACTGCTAGGCTTGTGATACCTGTTTGGATGGGCTCCAGCCAAGGGCATCTTAGAGTGAGCCGGTCCTCAGGAGAACGGAGGGGTGGGATGTGTGGTGCCATGGAGTCAGATACATGTTAAAAATTCTATAGTAGCCTACTGAAAAGGTAAAAAGTAGATCTCAACATATTGTATTTTACCTGATATATCCTAAATATTAATATTTAAACATGTCATCACTATAAAAAATGAGCTATTCTGCCTGCTCTTTTTTGTGTGAGTCTTCACAAACTGGTTATGTGTTTCATGCTTATAGCACATCAGTTTGCACTAGCCATGTTTCAGGTGTTTAGGGGCCACACATCCAGGCCCATTGTGTGTCTCAATCTTCTTCTCTTCGTTCTCCTCAATCTGTGACCCTTAGTTTTGCCTGTTCTTTCAGGCAGTTTACTCTTTTCTCTCCTGCAGGTTGTGACTCAGCTTGTAGTTACTGTGGCTTATTGTTGAACTCCTCATGAATTTTGGTCTCAACTATTTCCCAAAACAAATTACTATTTGTCAGTAGAGAGCTATGTCCTGGTAGGAGGCCCTCAAGGAGAATGTTGTCATCTGAGACACAGGTGCCTCCTCAAGTGGAGTCTATTGAAATGAAGAAGGATTATTCCATTTTTGCGTATGGGGAATAGTGATTTTTATTTTGAATTTTTAGCAGTGAGTGACATCTGAGAGAAAGAATGAGAATGAATGTTGTGTCTAATATATTGGGGAGTAAAATACCTGCTGCAGGTGAAAGCTTTGTATTCAAAAAATGCTCCTTACAAATCAGATTGAATTCTATAGAAGTCAAAATCCTCTCCAGTGCTTTGCTGCTAAGGTAAGTTACTTCCTATCTTTACAAGATCAACCACATAATCATATTGTAGGTATTTGTATGTATAAATACAGGCACAAATGTGCGTCTAATAAAAATAATTTCAAAGTAACTATTTAATATAATTTCTTTTTATCTTATTGCAGAAAAATCTAAACAGTTGACAAATATCCCAGTGCAGTTATTTACAATTATAGAATCTTATAATTTTTTAGTATGTTGATATGCATCTGTATACTTTGTTTTTTGTTAGAAACTGAAAATAGGAAGATCCTCATTATTTGCCTGCAGAAGCCTATTAATATTGACAACAAAGAAGTGATGAAAATAGAAATCCATTTTGATTTGCAATTCAACATATCACAAGCTTCCATTGAAGCTTTAGGAGAAGACAAACAGGTGGCAGATTTAGTTCTTCTTGTTTATTTGAAAATATTTTAGTATGTTTCCCTGTCTCTAACTTCCTTGTTGGGTTTTGATGTGAACATTTGCTCAAGCTGAGATAGCTTGATCTTCGGAACATCATGTAATAAGAATTGAAACATCTGGCTTCTAATCCCAGTTCTTTTCATATATTATTGCCTTATGTAGGACACAAAGCCTCCTTCTGCCTCAAAATGCTTTATCCCATTTATTGTGAACAGTTGAAAATTTTCTAGGGTAACATCACAACCTCACCACATTCTTCCTGAAGTTTTGAGGATACTTGCTGTGGGCTTCTTAGCATTTCCTTCTCTCTCCAACCCTTGAGAACTGAGGGGGAATTAGTCGAAATAGCATCTCTTAGGGAGTTTTTCTGAAGTTCTGTCTCCTGGTGTTAAGGTGAAACGGTCTGCACATCTTCTAGACTGCTATGGCCTCTATATCACTAACTATAATGTGTCCTATTTACATACAAGAGCACAATGTCTTGGGAACGCCTGGGTGGCTCTGTTGGTTAAGTGTCTGCTTTCGGATCAAGTCCTGCATCGGGCTCCCTGCTCAGCAAGGAGTCTGCTTCTCCCTCTTCTTGCCATTCCCCCTGCTTGTGCAGGTGCGCGCTCTGACAAAATCTAAAGAAAAAAAAAATTTAAGCCCTTTATAAAAACAACAACAACAAAAAACAAACACAATGCTTTTATCACAGATGGCAGACAGAGCAAAGATATTTGTGACAAAAAGACCTAAGATACTGTGGTAGTGGCCATTAGAAGGTTGAATTAAGAGGTCAGAGACCAGAGGAAAGAAGCCTAGGTCCCATTTCCTTTTGGCATTGAGTTGTATGTGAAGACCTGTTATATTCTATAAAGTGCTCTGCAGTGGAGTTTCTGAAGACTCACCCCATGAAAAGGCCATTTCATGGATGAGGATGAGAAATAGAGTAAAATCAATTACTTAATAAAAAAAAAATGTTACATATGAATTGGCCTAACACTGATGCTAGACTGGCTGAGGCCCCAAGAGGGAGGGCCGCCAGCCCCTCACCAAGAGGGTTCTTGGTTTTATGGGAGAACGAATTCAAGAGCAAGCCATGTAGAGAAAGGGACAAAGATTTATTAAGTCTAGAAGTAAGAAAGGAGCTCCTTCACAAACAAAGTAGTAGTCTCTCCTCCCAGATAAGGAAGCATACCCTCCCCCCACCCCCATGTTGCCTCTGATGAAGGGTTTTGTGTGTTTAAAATTACCTAACCGTATAAGGAAGGGCTTTTAACTTTGGGTTTATTATTTGCACTTGGCAGTAAGATTAACTTCTTCTAATTTATGTTTGTTGTGTTCTGAGCCTTAAGTTTTCCTTAACAAAATTTTTAAGAGTTTATTCCTCTTTTAAGGTCATGTGGATTTTGGCTTACATTTCAGGTGTTGCCTGACCAGACAAGAAGCTCCTCAGAACGTTCTGGTAAACTTGAGAAAGAAGACCCTGACATTCCTAGCAGCCTTGAGAGAGAGACAGGTAACTGGGTAATAAAATCTTGTACTCTGAATTCCTTTTAAAAACAATAAAACCTTACTTGGAAGAGATCACTGCAAGCCTGTGGTGCATGAGAGTAATAAATATGCTATTGTACCTGCAGAGAACAAAGTTGCTAGCCACCTTGAATCATTTTCCCTACCCGATACATTGTCTTATGAGACAATTGGAAATGACAAAGGAGAAAAAATGATAGTCATGGCTGGAGGCAGAAGATGGGGTCATGGAAGAGCCTAGCTACCCACAAAGCTGACCCTGCACAGATCCTGTATCTATTAGGAGTTACGTCCCAAAGCTGTTTCTCAAAGTGCCCATAGATTTTGGATTTGGAAGTTTAACGCAGGATGTAATTACCAGATCTTACCAATAGATGGCGATGTACCTGCAGTGTGGGGTCCCCTGAAGAGCAATTGGAGAATGTGTTCACTGTGGAGCATGGTTATTGTTACCACTTTTAATGCTCTGTTCTCTGTTATAGACCAGAAAGAAGAATCCACCAAGCTGGCAGAATTAATGAATGCCAGAGATGACCATTGCCCAATAACTGTCCCCTTAAATGACCAGTCTGAACCTGTGAGTATGGGATGCTGGGTACAAGATTCTGAACTGTGTCTACCAGGATGCTGACAGGGGGAAGCCACCTCTCCTGGCTTGTAGTCTATTTTTTTCCCCTAACCAACTATTTCTCCATTTTTTGGACCATCCTCTCCTTTAGATCACTTTTGCCTGACATGTTGATATGTTCTCTTCTTTCACACAACTTGGCTCTCCCGTGGAATGTGTGACTTGGCTGGCTCTGCTTCATTCCCTCACTTGGGATCTGGAGACCAAGATATAGGGGAAAGAGTCTGATGTTTGCAGTCAGACCTGGTTTTCACTTACTAGATACAGGAACTTGGGAAAGTTAATATCATTGAGTCTGAGGCTTCTGATCAATAAAATGAAGGTAATAGCTGGTTCATGCTGTAGCCCTCTTAGATACTATACATTTTGTTTTTAATCCTAACATACTGTTGGCATATACAGGTATTCAGACCAGTCCTCATTTTCTTATATTTGATTACATGGACATTATACAGAAGTGTAACGATAGTGTTTTTGGAACTGACAAATCTTCTGAGGGCAGAAAAATAATTTTTTTTTGCAGCAGCTGCCAACAGTCATTAGGAGTCAAGTCTAATGAATAAAAAGCCTGGTATCTTAGTATTTTGTAGAAATGCTTTTCTTTGGATATGTAACATGACTCCAAAAGAATTTTAAAAGAGGGACTTCAGAATCACCATAATTTTTTTTTCTACAGCAAACAAATACAGCAGATAGTTCACCTGAAAAATTGAAAGTGGATGACCCACAACAAGGTCAGCTTTTTTTTTAAAAAAAAAATCTATCACAAGACTTGAGTAGTATACTTAAATGTTTGAGAAGCTTAACAATTTTTGTTTTTAATTTTCATGGTTGGAAGTCACTTCAAAACATGAATATTCTTCAGATTTACAGGAACCGTCAGCAAAAATTCAGGATCCTAAATTAAATGACAAATCTAGGTATGTGATTTTTCAAAATTAATAAACCATATTGATTGCTATTAATGTGACTAGTTAATGTATAAGTCAACTGTCTTTCCATCTTCATCTGGCCACACGCCACACAAGGAGAGAACATTGTGTGCAGTGTTCTGTGGAATGATTTGAGCAGTGCTGGGATGTTCTCCTGACCTACAGGTCTCTACCATTATACCCCCCAGTGATATGCTTGGTGATGTAGTTTTCCCCAGCCAGGAAACATGTATCAGCTGGCATTAACTTGCTACTTTTCCATGTAGGCCTATGAAGAATGGGTCATAGGACAAGTAATTTTTTTATAGCTTTATATAGAGAGACAATTGGAATAAACTGTGCATATTTAAAGTATGCCATTTGAGTTTTGACATATGTCTATACCAAGGACCATCACTACAATCAAGATAATGTACCTATCCAACATCTCCAAGATATTCTTGCCCCTTTGAAATTCTTCCCTTCTGCCCTTTCTGTCCCCCTTACCTGCCCCTTGCAATCACTGATTCTCTTTTTGCAACAATAGATGAGTTTGCAATTTAAAAAATCTGGTATAGGGCCACCTGGGTGGCTCAGTCGTTAAGCGTCTGCCTACAGCTCAGGTCATGATCCCAGGGTCCTGGGATCGAGCCACGCATCAGGCTCCATGCTTGGCGGGAAGCCTGCTTCTCCCTCTCTCACCCTGCTTGTGTTCCTGCTCTCGCTATCTCTCTCTGTCATATAAATAAAAATCTTTTTTAAAAAGCCTATAAATGGAATCAAAGAGCATGTACTTTTTTTTTTCTACCAGCTTCTTTCATTCAGCATAATTATTTTGAGATTTATCCATATTATGTGTATCAATAGTTCATTCTATATTGCCAAGTAATAGTTCCTTGTTAAAATAGTTCCTAGTTAAAAGTGTTCTTTATATTTAAGCCTTTGTATGGATGTGTATTTTCTCTTGAGTAAATACATAGGAGTGGAATGACTGGATCATTGGTGGTGTAGGTTTAACTTCTAAAAAACCAAAAAACAACCCCTGCCAAAATGTTTTCTAAAGTGGTTAACCATTTAACATTCCCACCAAGTCTTCGAGAGTTCTAGTTCCTCGCATTCTTGTTAATACTTGGTTATGTTAGTCTTTTTAATCTTAGCCATTCCAGTGGAAATGTAGTGATATTTCATTGTGGTTTTGATTTGCATTTCTGTAATGACTATGGTGTTGAACATCTTTTCATGTATTTTCCATCATTCTCTCTCTTCTTGGGTAATATATCTTCAAATCTTTCACTATTAAAAATAGATTATTTGCTTTGAGTTAAAAGTGTTCTTTATTCTATATATATAGAAGTCCTTTATTAGATATGTTTTACATACATTTTCTCCATGTCTGTGGCTTACCTTTTTATTTTTATAAGTGTCTTTTTTTATCTTTCATGCATAATTATTGAAGGCCTGCTGTACGTAGCTAATACAGCTTATTGTCAGACACCTAATAACCTTTACTAAATGCATCCAATTCCATATATTATTCAGTCTTCCCCATATTCCTAAGGAATGTATTATTTTTACCTCCATTTGCTAAAGGAGGAAATGAAGACAACAGAACTTACTCAAGGACATATCCCTAGAAAGTGTTGGCTTAACTATAATGTCTTTAAAGAGCAAAATTTCTTAGTTTTTATTAAGCTCAATTGATTTTTTTCATTAATTTTTTTTTCTTTTATAATTTAGGCTTTTTTTTTTTTGGTGATGTGCTTAAGAAAACTTAGGCAAACTCATCAGTTTCCCTACATTTTCTTTTTTCCCTACATTTTCTTCTGGAACTTTCATAGTTTTAGATCTTATTTCAGTTATAAATCATTTTGTATTTTTATGTTGTGTGAAGAAAGGGGTTTTTTTCCCCCTTCTCTCTCTCCCCTCCCTCCCCTTTTCTTTCACATGGCTGTCCAATTATTCCAGATCATTTATTGAAACAATTACTTTTCCCCCATTGAGTTTTCCTGGAAACTTTGAAGAAATCAATTGACCATGTACGTGTAGCTCAATTTCTGGACTGCATGCAGGCATGCCTTTGAGATACTGCAAATTCAGTTCCAGATCACTACAATAAAGGGAATATGGCAGTAAAGCAAATCAAATGACTTGGCTTCCCAGTGCATACAAAGGTTAGGATTACATTATACTGTAGTCTGTTAAGTACGCAATAGCATCATACAGATACACGCTGTATATACTTTAAGTACTTTATTGCTTAAAAATGCTATCTGAGCTTTAAGTGAATCAATCTTTTTGCTGATAGCGGCTCTTGCCTCCATGTTGATGCCTGCTGACTGGTCAGAGTGGTGGTTGCTGAAGGTGGGGTGACTGGCAATTTATTCAGATAAGGCAACAATGCTCAGAAGAAAAGATTCCTTTCAAAATATTACTGCCCGCTGACTGTATACCTGGTCACCCAAGTGCTCACATTGACACTTCCTTTCATGAACAATTTCTCTGTAGCATGAGATGCTCTTTAATAGCAGTTTACTCACAGTAAAACTTCTCTCAAGGTTGGAGTCAATCCTTCCAAATCCTGCTGCTTTATTAACTAAGCTTATATAATATTCTAAATCCTTTGACATCTCAAGAATCTTCATAACATCTTCACCATGAATAGAGTCCATCTAAAGAAACCACTTTCGGGCGCCTGGGTGGCTCAGTCGTTAAGCGTCTGCCTTCAGCTCAGGTCATGATCCCAGGGATCGAGTCCCACAGCGGGCTCCCTGTCCGGCAGGAAGCCTGCTTCTCCCTCTCCCACTCCCCCTGCTTGTGTTCCTGCTCTCGCTGTCTCTCTCTCTGTCAAATAAATAAATAAAATCTTTAAAAAAAAAAAAAAAGAAACCACTTTCTCTGCTCATTCATAAGAAGCAACACCTCATCTGTTCAAGTTTTAATATGAGATTCCAGCAGCTGAGTCCCATCTTCAAGCTCCACTTCTAATTCTCTTGCTATATCCATCACATCTGCAGTTACTTCACTAGAATCTTGAACCCTTCAAAGAAGTCATCCATGAGGATTGGAATCAACTTCTTCCAAACTCCTGTTAATGTTGATATTTTAACCTCTTCCCATGAATCATGAATGTTATTACTGGCATCTAGAATGGTGAATCCTTTCCAGAAGGCTTTCAATTGACTTTTCCCAGATACATCAGAGGAATCAATATCCATGGCAGCCATAGCCTTAGGAAATACATTTTTTAAAATTTTTTATTGTTATGTTAATCACCATACATTACATCATTAGTTTTTGATGTAGTGTTCCATGATTCATTGTTTGTGCATAACACCCAGTGCTCCATGCAGAACGTGCCCTTTTTAATACCCATCACCAGGCTAACCCATCCTCCCATCCCCCGCCCCTCTAGAACCCTTGGTTTGTTTTTCAGAGTCCATCGTCTCTCATGGTTCGTCTACCCCTCCGATTTCCCCTGCTTCATTCTTCCCCTCCTGCTACCTTCTTCTTCCTTTTTTTTCTTAACATATATTGCATTATTTGTTTCAGAGGTACAGATCTGAGATTCAACAGTCTTGCACAATTCACAGCACTTACCAGAGCACATACCCTCCCCAGTGTCTATCACCCAGCCACCCCATCCCTCCCACCCCACCCCCCACTCCAGCAACCCTCAGTTTGTTTCCTGAGATTAAGAATTCCTCTTATCAGTAAGGTCATATGATACATTCTTAAATAAGACTTAAGTTGAAATGACTCCTTGATCTATGGGTTAAAGAATGACATTGTTAGCAGGCCTGAAACAACATTCATCTTGTTGCTCATCTCCACCAGAGCACTTGGGTGACCAGGTATAGTCAGCGGGCAGTAATATTTTGAAAGGAATCTTTTCTTCTGAGCAGCAAGTCTCAACAGTGGGCTTAAAATATTCAGTAAACCATGTTGTAAACAGATGTGCTGTCATCCAGGCTTTGTTGTTCCATTTATAGAGCATGAGCAGAGTAGGTCTAATAATTTTTTTTTTTTAAAGATTTTATTTATTTATTTGAGAGAGAGAATGAGAGAGAGCACATGAGAGGGGGGAGGGTCAGAGGGAGAAGCAGACTCCCCGCTGAGCGGGGAGCCTGATGCGGGACTCGATCCCGGGACTCCAGGATCATGACCTGAGCCGAAGGCAGTCGCTTAACCAACTGAGCCACCCAGGCGCCCAGGTCTAATAATTCTTAAGGGCTCTGGGATTTTGGAGTGCTAAATGAACATTGCCTTTAAGTTAAAGTCAGCAGCTGTATTATTCCCTAACAAGAGACTCAGCCTGTCTTTTGAAGCCAGGAATTGAGTTTTCCTCTCCATCTTTAAAAGTCCTAGATGGCATCTTCTTCCAAATGAAGGCCATGTCTATATTGAAAACTTGTTTAGCGTAGCCACCTTCCATAACTATTTTAGCTAGATCTTCTAGATAACTTACTGCAGCTTCTACATCAGCACTCGCTGCTTTATCTTACACTTTTATATTATGGAGATGTTTTTTTTTCCCCCTTAAATCTCATGAACCAACTTCTGGTAGATTCTACCTTTTCTCTTGAAGCTTTCTCAGCTCTCCAAGCCATCATGGCTTAAAGAAATGTTGTGGCTGGTTTGATCTTCTATCTAAGCCACTAAAATTTTCTCCATGTATGCAATAAGACTTTTGCTTTTTTTGTCATTTGTGTGTTCACTGGAATACCACTTTTAATTTCCTTCCAGAAGTTTTCCTTTGTATTCACAATTTGGCTAACTGATGCAAGAGGCCTAGCATTGAGCCTATCTCAACTTTCAACAGGTGTCCCTCACTAAGTTTAATCATTTCTAGCTTTTGATTTAAAGTGGGAGACCTGTAACTCCTTCTTTCACTTGAACACTTAGGGGCCATTATAGGGTTATTGGCCTAATTTAAATATTGTTGTGTCTCAGAATAGGGAGGCCTGAAGAAAGAGATGGCGGAACAGATGGTTGGGGCATATTTTGTGGTGCCCCAAAACAATTACAATAGTAACATCAAAGCTCACAGACCACCAATAACAAATATAATGAAAAAGTTTGAAATATTGCAAGAATTACCAAAACATTACACAAAGACCTAAAAGAGAGCAAATGCTGTTGGAAAAATGGTGGCAATAGACTTGCTCAATACAGGATTGCTACAAACCTTTAATTTGCAAAAATAAAAGCCCATAGTATCTATGAAGGGCAATAAATCCAAGGGCAATAAAATAAGTAATGTCTATATTCTGTTACATTGATCTACTTATCTAACTTTATATATTACCTGAATTACTGTAGCTTTACAGTGGTAAAGCTATTGTATCTCATTTTGAAATGAGGTAGTGTTGGTCTTCAACTCTTTTTTTTAAGTTGTTTTGACTATACTTAGTCCTTTGCATCTCCATATCAATTTTAGAATCAACTTTACAAAAAGTCTTCCAGCTTTTGACTGAGATTGTATTAAATTTATAGGTCATTTGGAGAAGAATTGATATCATAACAGTGTTTTCATGGTCTCAAACATGGTGTATCTCTTCATTTATGTAGGACTTCAATTTCTCTCAGTAATGTTTTATAGTTTTAAATATATAACTTGGATAAATTTAGCAAAATATATACAAAAGTATTTCATATTCTTATGATCTTTAAAAATTTCCACTTCTGGTTTCTTATCCTATAGACATGCAGTTGATTTGTATATATTGGTCGTAGGTCTTACAACCTTGCTAAACCAACTTAATACTTCTCATAATCCATTTGATAGAATTTTATTGCTATGCACATTTTAAATACTTAATTTCCAATAAAATATAGGCAATAAACATCTTTTTCTTACTCTGAAAGTACATCCCCAGAAACAGTTGTGGACATGCCACCTGTTATACTACACAAGTGAACATATTACTTTGACCTTCTTATTGTTCAACATTCATAAGGAGCCACATTAGATTTTTTTTCTGTTTTGAGATATAATTACCATACAAAAATATAGAAGTTTTAGGTATACAGCATAATGACTTGGCATACATATATTGCAAAATGATTACCATAGTAATTTCAGTTAACATGAAGCTCCTCATAAAATTATGATTTTTTTTTCCCTTGTAATGAGAACTTTTAGGATCTATTCTTGGCAACTTTCAGATATACCAAATGTACATTACATCCCCAGCACTTATTTATCTTATAACTAGAAGTGTGAAAGTTTTAACCACTTTCATCCACTTTTGACCACCCTTACCCTCCCAACTTCCACCTCTGGTGACCACAAAACTGGTATTTTTTTTTGTGAGGTGTTTTTTTTTTTTAATTCAAGTATACTATACAGTGTCATATTAGGTTCAGGAATAAAATGATTCAACAATTCCATACACTTCTAGTGCTCATCAAGATAAGTGTTCTCTTAACCCCCTATATCTGTTTCACCCATCTCCCCACCTACCTCCCTTCTGCCAACCACTAGTTCTTTATATTTCAGTGTCTGGTTTTTATTTCCTTTTTTGTTTCTTAAATTCAACATATGAGTGAAATCATATGGTATTTGTGTTTCTTTGAGTTATTTCACTTATCATTGTCCCCTCTAGGCCCATCCATGTTGTTGCAAATGGCAAGTATTTTTATGGTTGAGTAATACTCCAATGTCCATATATACCACATTTTCCTTATACATTCATTTTTCAATGGGCATTTGTGTTGCAGTTTTAAGATGGGCTTTTTAAATTCCATATATAAGTAAAATTAAATAGTATTTGTCTTTCTCTGACTTATTTCAGTTAGCACAATGTCCTCAAAGTCCATCTATGTCTTTGCACATTGCAAGATTTGCATTTTTAGGATTAAATAGTATACCACATCTTTATCCATTTATCAATAGACAAGTTGTTTCCATATCTTGGCTACTGTAAATAACACTATAATAAACATAAGGATGCAGATATCTCTTCAACAGTGATTTAGTTCCCTTTGGATATATACCCAGAAGTGGAATTGCTGATTCATTGCTATTTTAGAATTTTTGAGGGACCTCCATACTGGTTGTTTAACCTTCCATGGTGGCTGTACAATTTACATTTCTACTAATAGTGCACTAGGGTTTTCTTTCTTTCTTTCCACATCTTCACCAACACTTGTACTCTCTTTTTGATAGGAATTCTAACAGGTATGAAGTAATACCTCATTGTGGTTTTGATTTTTATCTCCCTGATTAGTGATGCTGAGCACCTTTGCATGTATATATTAGCCATGTGATTATCTTCTCTGGAAAAAATTTCTCTTCAGACTCCCCACATATATTTAAATCAGTTTGCTTGGTTTTTTGCTGTTGAGTTGTAGTTCCTTTTAAATTTTGGATATTAACCCCTTACCGGAGTACGATTTGCAAATTCCGCCCTTTCTGTAAGTTGCATTTTTGTTAATTGTTTCTTTTGCTGTGCAGAAGCCTTTTTAGTTTGATGTAGTCCCAATTTTTTTTAATTTTTGTTTTCCTTTTCCTTTGGTGTTACATACAAAAAATTTTTGCCAAGACCAATGTCAAGAAGGTTTTTCCCTGTGCTTTTTTTTTTCCCCTAGGAGTTTTATGGTCTCAAGTCTTATGTTTAAGTCTTTAATCCATTTGAATTGTGAGTATTGTAAGAGGAGTCCCATTTAATTCTTTTGCATGTGGTTATCCAGTTTCCCTGCATCTCTTATTGAAGAGACTATTTCCCCATTAAGTGTTCCTGGCTCCCTTGTCAAATATTAGTTGACCAAATATGTCAGAATTATCTCTAGCAATATTCTTTGTTCTGCGAGCTATTTTGTATGATGTTAATATGACCACTGCTGCTTTCTTTATCTTAGTTTAAGTATGGCATATCTTTTCCCATTATTTTACTTTTAACCTTTTTGGATCTATACATTTAAGGTGGGTTTATTATAGGCAGCATTTGCTTTTGCTTTGCTATTTACCTCA